TTATTATGAATTTCAGTTTGACCCTATGTGCATCAGGGAAGCCCTTCACTTCCTCAAACACAAGAACAGATTTTTTGTGAACATCAACTAATGAAGAGTGGGTTAATATTTTTTTTGAGAACCCGATGAGTGTCCTCAAGATGAAATGGGACATTAAAAAGGAACCTAGTGAGGAATTGGAAGATGAGCTTTTGCATGATAATCAGTGACATTGTATCATCCCTGACACATGCCTTATGCCAGTTGATCCAGGCCAGGAAACCATTGATCAATGTTTTGATGACATCTTGAATCTTGCTCCGGCTGAGGGCAATAATCCTCTTAAATTGCGATCTGATGAGGACCATGAAGCTAAGTGCTTTCCAAAATTATTCCCACTGGCACGCAATACTTTTCATACTCCGAGACCCATCCCTCTGACATTGTTCTGGTATTTTGTAAATAGAATCATGAATGTGGATCGCAGATTCACTCACAATTGTGAATATATATTTTTTGCTCTTTCTTTGATTGAAGTTGATCAGGTGGAAGTGTTTCTATATCAGTGTCTTACAGAAGAATCAGAAGAAAAGGAACCTGGAGTCTGTGTTGTTCTGAAGATGGTTTCTCTGTTTTTCATAATAACAAACAAACCACCTCCCTCATCCCTGTTCCTCTGGTGGGAGAGTATCAGTGTTTGTGGACTGTCCTGCTGGATCTCTGTCCTTCTACACAGTCTCCTCTGACCAACTGACCCACCTCCACACCTTCAACACCACATTCACTCACACTCTGATCCCTGGGTTTAGTCTCTGGCCTAAAGACTCCTCAGTGTCTCTGTGACTCCGACAGACTCACTCTCCTCGCTGTAAAATACTACAACATTTTACATTTATTTTTACATCATTGAACAAAAAAAGTGATTTGTGGATTAAACCAGAACTAAACCAGGAACCGAATCAAGTATAAACCAGAACTGAACCAGGACTAAACCAAAAAACCAGGTCCAGGACTGAGAGCAGGACTTAGACCGGGAACAGAAAAGGACAAATCCAGGAGCAGGACCGACTGAGACAGAGACGAGATCAGACCAGAACTCAGACAGGATTGAGACTGGGGAGGACCGGACTGAGACTGGGACCAGATTGGGACTGAGAACGGGACCAGAGCAGGACTGAGCCAGGACCAGACTGGGACCAAACCAGGACTGAAAAATGGTTTAGACCTGGTTCAGTCCTGATTTAGCCTGGTTTAGTCCTTGTTCTCCTGCTTTAGACCTGTTTTAGTCCTGGTTTAGACCTGGTGTAGTCCTGGTTTAGTCCTATTTAGACCTGGTTTAGTCCGAGTTAGTCCTGGTTTAGACCTGGTTTTCCTGGTTTTAAACATTTAACACGTTTTCTCAACACTGACAATGTTTTAACCTACAGATTAAACAGCCTACAACATTTTTTTTTTTTTTTTATATTAAATGTCCTTTTTTCCGTGATAAAAAAAATGCTGTTCTAAATTTAACATGTTTTCTCAATCCTGGTAATGTTTTTAAAAGCCCAACCTTTGTATCACATTTGTTTATTCAAAGATTAAATGTTTTCTGTGACAAAACGTTGTTGGTTGTTTTTTGGTGAAGAGGGCGACTTTTCAAACGTGACTGGGGGAAATGACTAAACCCGATCTGGCAGCACAGGTTGGACTCTGGGTTAGACGCAGTGTGGACGCCAGAGCAGAGCTGTGCAGCACGTCGGTTTTCACTTATTATTTTACGCTTTATTTCTTGTACTTTCATAATTTTGACACTCGTTGGTTTAATTGGAGCCGTCGTCTATCGTGTCCGTTTCCCGTCACATGGGCTCATGTGTGCGACGCTAAACGTGGAACTGGCGAGTCAGAAGTTTGTTTGTGCTGGTGTTATTCCTGTGGGAGAGTCACGTGGAAACAAAGGGAGGACCCAAAATGCAGGACTGCTTTAAAGTTCTTTAATAACAAACAAAAAAAGATCCAAAAATGGAAACTAAACTGCCCTGACAGGACGAGATACTGACAAAGACACAGACAATGACAAATACAATGGACCAACAAAGGGCAGAGGAGAACACAGGGTATAAACGCACACAGACACAGGTGAAACACGTCAGGGCGCGGCAAACAACCAAGACATGAAGTAAAACTCAAAACTACAAGCAGACGGGAACATTTCAAAATAAAAGGGCACACAACACTAAAGGAAAAAGACGCCGTAATAAGCAAAACCAACCAGTACAGAACATGAACCATGACAGGGAGTAAATCTGTGTCACAAGTGTTTATTGTCTTTTAAGTTTCTTGTTAAAGAATGTTGAATGTTTCCACGCTAACTCCACAGCACTTTATCTCAGCACTTTAATTTATTTATGCTATTTACTCATCGGCTGCTCCTCAGTTACAGCAACAACGATGCACTTTATTCAATCATGTTAAATGATATGGAAAATATTATTTATTATGAATTATGACAATGATTGATCATGTTTTCTAATTGTGATTTTGATTGACCTGTTTGCACAATAAACAACATCATTACAATTTATTATCACTTGGATCATTCATGTAGTTTGTAAATGTATGTGGTGTTCAGTAGGGGTGTGCAAAAAATATCGGAATATCGATATATCGTATCGTTTAATGTGATGATACAGTATTGATATCGTGGGCAACTGTATCGATATTTCACCAAGAGTATTTTTAGGTGTGTTTTACTAAATTATTTTGTTACAGCTACAGTTTTGTTGCTTGTGGAGTGAAAGGAAACTCATTTATGCGACACATTTGATATTTTTACTGTTTTGAGGATTAAAATGTTTGTGTTTCATATGAACTTTGCACAAGAAGTGGTTTAACAAAGACTTTTAGTATCACAGCCACGATTTAGCCTTTATTTTTTATTGAACCGTATCGAATCGATTTGAAATATATCATATCGAATCGAAAGTGCACTGTATCGAGATCTGTATCGATGTATGTATCGTATGTGGCCTGTGTATCGAGGTATGTATCGTATCGGCAACTCCTTAATGATACCAGCCCTAGTGTTCAGTGGATCTTCGGTTCTCTATACAGGTCAGGTTTCTTGATCTGAATCTGACGGGAGCTAACGGAGCAGGTCTAGAGCCTAAAAGACTGAACTCAGCTGAAGAATCACTACGTCACCTGCCAGGGCCGGCAGGGGGCTCCTGCAGCCCAGATAAACTCTCACCCCACACAAACTCTCAAACCCACAATCACTTTCCCTCCACATGGACTGAACTCTCTTTTGCACTGGTCCCAATACAAACCTCATAACCCAGACGTGGGTTATTCATGAGCTGTGGGAGGGTTGGCTTTAACACTGGACTGTGTTGATTATTGTTATTGTTGTTTCCTGTTGCTGTGCTGGTCATTGCACTGCTGCTCAGTCGTTGTATTTTCACATATATTTGTCTAATATTCCTGTTGTAAATATCTCAAATGGCCTTTTGCACTCTTGCACTTAATGTTTGTGTTTTTTATGTCACTTTATTATTCAGTATCTGGTACCAACCAAACACAATCGTGTCTGCCTCCTCCCTGAGCGAGAACTATTCTTCTGATCTGGAGCCTAATCCCCGTTACTATTACAAGTGTATTACTATTGTGCTACCACTGTATTACTACGTTATAACCAGTGTTGGGAAGGTGACTTTTAAAATGTAATCCCCTACAGATTACATATTACACACCCCAAAATGTAGTTGTAACGTATCCATTAAATACTTAAAGTGAGTAATGTAATCTGAATACTTTGGATTGTTTGGTTTGTGGTAGAGAAGCAAAGACGAGGAAACTTAACTGTATTAAATATTATTGATAGAAGAGGAGGAGACACGTGCGCAGCATGATTTAGTCCTGTTAAATCCTGTTTTAGTCCTGTTTTAGTCCCGGTTTTGATCTAGTTTAGTCTAGTTTTAGTCCTGGTTTAGACCTGGTTTAGACCTGGTTTTAGTCCTGGTTAGATCTAG